CTGTAAAACGATTCTTTAAACTCTTCTTTGAGTTTTAAATAAACTTCAAGTTGATATACATAATATATTTGAATCTTGTATCAGTGGTTTTGATTGTTTATCCTCTCGAAGTCAAAGATTGGATTTTTAAGGGTTCTTGTGAAGCAGGGGATTTCCAATGAACAGAGGCAATAAAAGTAATCAGCAACCTTCTTCATATATTGCTGATCATTTCAACAGCTTGGATCAGGTTTCTAAAATTTCACCACTGTTTGTTTCTTGATTTCTTTGATTTGAGTCTCTTTCAAAGTGAGAAAAACTCATAAGAAGGGTTTTTACTTTTAGGTGATCACTTCTCTGAGAGAAGCTGGACTTGAATCTTCGAATTTGATTCTAGGAATTGACTTCACCAAGAGCAATGAGTGGACAGGTTTTGATTTTGAAAAATGCTTCATATGTTGATGAGAGATGATTTCAATGGTTTTTACTTAAATGTTTTGTATCTCGTTGCAGGAAGATATTCATTCAATAGAAAAAGCCTTCATGCCATTGGTAAAAGACAGAATCCATATGAGCAAGCAATATCGATTATTGGTCGTACTTTGTCTCCCTTTGATGAAGATGGTCTTATACCTTGTTTTGGTTTTGGCGATGGTTAGTTTCTTGGTCCTTTGTTGAAGAAGTTTTGCTTCCAAGATGGAAAAAAGATTAACAAAACTCTAAATGGTTTTATGTACGCTTCTTCCTGCAGTAACAACGCGAGATCAATATGTATTCAGTTTTTATCCCGAGAACAAAAGTTGCGACGGATTGGATAAAGCGGTTAAAAGATATAGAGAGATTGTTCCACATTTGAAGTTGTCCGGTATTTTTTACTACAAACTTCTCGAAAGATATCGGTTTAGCTCTCTCTTGATCCTAGAGATTTTTCATTTTTTCTGTGTATTCTTCTCGCGCAGGTCCTACCTCGTTTGCCCCGGTTATTGATGCAGCCATCGACATAGTCGAGCAGAACAATATGCAATACCATGTTCTTGTCATCATAGCAGATGGTCAGGTAACAAGGAATCCAGATGTGCCACATGGTCGGCTAAGTCCACAGGAAGAAGCTACTATGAACTCGATCATGGCAGCTAGGTAAACTATTCAATAAGCTCAGTTTGATGGTCTTAGTTTCATACTAATGTTGTTTGATACAATTTCTTCAGTCATTACCCATTGTCGATCGTCTTGGTTGGAGTAGGAGATGGACCATGGGACACAATGAAACAGTTTGATGACAATATCCCTCACCGTGAATTCGATAACTTCCAGGTAAAATAATAAAACCTAGCATACCAATCTAATCCTCCTCCGGATAATATGATGATCACTGATGCGTAAAAATCTGTTTCCTTTCCGCAGTTTGTGAACTTCACAGAGATAATGTCAGAGCACAAAGATGCAGCTAAAAAGGAGACTGCTTTTGCACTTGCAGCTCTCATGGAGATCCCTTTTCAATACAAGGCCACATTAAGTCTCAAGTAAAGCTTTTACCTTGGAAGTTTGTTGTATCACTGTTTATAAATTCCATTAGATTCTTAGAAAGTTGCCAACCAAACCGACCTTTGAATGTGATTGTGAACAGTACAAAGCAAGTGCGCGTTTCCCGTTCGCACCAGAAGCCGCTCCCGCCACCACCAGAGGTCATAGAGCGTGACAATGCTGTTAGATCAGCGCCAAATCCAGTAACAGAAACTGCAGAGAAAAGTGAAAGAATGGCTCCAGTGACGGCGCAGGTAAACTCTCTATTTCCGCCTTTTTTGCTGTTCTCTGTTAGTTTATGGATACTAAGATCAACATTCCTTTTGTTTTCCAAAAAGGTATGCCCGATTTGCTTGACGAATCCAAAGGATATGGCTTTTAGCTGCGGTCACACGGTAAGTGAAATTTGCAAAACAAGAAAACTCTTGCTTGTTCTATGAACCAGATCGGTTTTGTGACATCTCTGTTGTTTTTATTTTCACATAAAGACATGCAAGGAATGCGGCGTTGTTGTCAAGACATGCCCTATGTGCAGACAACCTATAACAACGAGGATAAGGCTGTACACTTGACTCGATGAGGCAAAGACCATATAGTTAAGCGCTTCATGTTCATACTTTGTCTAGCACATTGTACAGTCCAAGCAGAAGAATAATAATACCTAAAATCTTCCACTGTAGTTTGTATGTATTGCAGTAGCTGTGAGGGTCTATGCAAAGAATTTGTTGATTCGATGAATACCCGAAATTCTTGGCCTTCCGAAACAAGGAAATACGCGAGAAGAATTCTCTTTCTGTATATTAATCAAAAACTACGTACAAAAAAGCATAGGAGGTTCTGTTTAGAAAGATCTAAAGCTCTAATGATTCAACAGCAAAGAGACCCATGTTAAAGAAGAGCTAAGAACAACCTTAAAATACTTAGAAGCTCCAACGGTCAAGTTGTTGCTTGGCTACAGCCATGTCCTTCTGTGCTTTCATTCTCCGGTAAAATATTGGACAATCTCGACTGTGAAATCCAAAAAAAAAAAGTTGGATCAGAATCAATTACCTGTTAAAAGACAATTTTTAAAAATTCAGATATCAAAAAATATAAAAAGCAAAACCTGGTGCACAAGACATCTTGGTGAAGAGAACCTTGGCACTCCTGGCACTGAGTCCACAGCCTTCCAAAGAGCTCCTCTAGGTCTGACACTGAGTTTACACAATTTTTTTCAAAAATTAGCGACGGATTGAGAAGTCTATAGAAAAGGGAAAAACGTAGCTTACCCTGAGACACGTTTTTGCAGTATAACTCGGCTTCTCTCCCCTTGCAACGTGAGCACAGTGTTCCATTGCTGGTTGAAGTTAAAGCAGAAATTGATAAGCAGATCCCATAAATCGAATCAGATATGCAAGATTTCAGGAACAAAATAATATAATGATAAGAAACTTTGCAGGCAGAGGGAAAAAATACATATCAGGAACAGAGAATCAAAGACCATGTAGAACTTGCAGGATCCTATTACTCTTCAAAAAAGAACATGAACAATACAGAGGCAAATGACCGTGATGTACCTGATCGAAGCTTTGCAGCCAACACAGCTCAGTTGTTTCTTGGCAAATTTCATAATGCCGCTGTTTGAAGGAGTAGGAATTGATATTGACCTCGTGTGACTTCCATGGAGAAGTTCCTTGCTAGCATTTTTTAAGACTGGCTCAAAAATCCTAAGAAGTGGCTGAGAACAACATCTGGTTTAACCTCAAAGCACCAGAATAAAGAGTAGAGAATAAACTTATAGATAGGCCCTACTTCCAACTGACCTTGCTAATCTGATTCTCCAGGTAGTAATTTGGGTCTATAGGGATGTTATTCTCAAGCACGTAGATCGGATCTTCTGACCGTTCATAAGCCTAGTTGGCATCAAAATGAGATAAGCACGGTAGGAGAGAATGATCTCTACCATCTTGAAAAGATAAAGTAAGGTTCACATGAAAGGTACCTTGGCACCTTTAGCAGCTTTTATAATAACATACGGTACCCGATCCCCAACATTTGGCGCTGTAGCAGGATCCCTCTGTCACGTATGCGAAAGCAAACATCTCTAAGGTTCTCAAATTTCACATATCTCATTTTCCATAAAACAGATCTCAGTTTCCGAGCAACCTCTGTATGATATCATATATTCACCAAAGAATGCATGGATTAAGAGAAATCCCTGTACTTATGCAGCTCCTAAATGACGCTGTAAGAATCACATAGATGTTCTAAAAGCCAAAAAGTAACTATTTAGCACTTGTATTTTTCAGTTTGAGGGTGTGCATGTGATGCTGGAACTAACAGTGAGCAAGGGACTGCAATTTCCCCTAGACACGTTTTATACATGTA